TTTTATAAAGCTCAATTATATATAGTAAAGTATAATTGAATCATTAAAAAAAACACAATTAGATATCAGCCTCTCCTTAAGAGTCTGGTCCATTGTAAGGCAGTGTAAAACGAAACCTGAGGATGCCAGTAAAGAGCCAGTGTCTTTGTTATGGCTGAGCACAACTGAGAGAATTGCCTAAAGGTGAACATGTGACAGGAAGTGGTCACACAAAACCCCAATGACCTTAAAAGAAGGTAGCTCATGCAAGGTGACACACTATTACTCATTGCCAAAGAAGCTTCTGTGGTGTTTCGATCTACCTTGTTCAAACTAGAACATGCCTTGTTTTTTTAAGAAGTGATGACAGACCAATAGCATTTACCACCACACTGCACCCTAGTTTCTCTGCAAAATAAATATTTGACCTGCTTCCTGTATTGTCAGGTGATGGCCTGCTTGCGGCGCGTGTCACTTTATTGTTTTTGATAAACACCATGTTGGGTCAAGAAAATACCATGAGCAGATACCACAGTGTATATACAGTGGACGCAAAAAAGTATTTAGTCAGCCACCAATTGTGCAAGTTCTCCCACTTAAAAAGATGAGAGAGGCCTGTAATTTTCATCCTAGGTATACCTCAACTATGAGAGACAAAATGAGGAAAAAAAAATCCAGAAAATCACATTGTCTGATTTTTAAAGAATTTATTTGCAAATTATGGTGGAAAATAAGTATTTGGTCAATAACAAAAATTAATCTCAACACTTTGTTATATACCCTTTGTTGGCAATGACAGAGATCAAACGTTTTCTGCAAGTCTTCACAAGGTTTTCACACACTGTTGCTGGTATTTTGGCCCATTCCTCCATGCAGATCTCCTCTAGAGCAGTGATGTTTTGGGGTTTTTGGGGCTTAATACAGTTAACAAGTGGAGGACAGAGGAGGCTCTTAAAGAAGAAGTTACAGGTCTGTGAGAGCCAGAAATCTTGTTTGTTTGTAGGTGACCAAATACTTATTTTACCGAGGAATTTACCAATTAATTCATTAAAAATCCTACAATGTGATTTCCTGGATTCTTTCACCCCATTCTGTCTCTCATAGTTGAACTGTACCTAGGATGAAAATGACAGGCCTCTCTCATCTTTTTAAGTGGGAGAACTTGCACAATTGGTGGCTGACTAAATACTTTTTTGCCCCACTGTACATCAGTATTTACATTGACATTAGACATTGCATATACTTGGTATTATTAATGATACTGTATAATACAGAACACTTCTATAAATGACATTTACTACAGCGCTTTCCGACAGAAAAGGTGCCACACGGGGCTTTCGTCATTGACACTTGATAGATTACATTAGTGTAAACGTATAGAATGTAGTAATAACTGAATCAGGTTCTTCCTTTGATCAATGTGTCACTGTCTTTGCAGGGTCCTATAATGTTCTGTGCCAGGCTGGCAGAGAAAGCAGTTGCACTTCTGTGTTGTGAGAAACTCCACAAAATAGGTAAAACCAGAATGAGATTTTATAGATGCATGATGGGGAAACTATTCAATGTGAGCCTGTATAGAGCTCTCCCCTGCATCCTCTTCATCTTGTTATGCTGCTTTCTTTACCCCAGGTGAGCTGGATGATCACCTGATGCCGGTGGGAAAGGAGACGGTGAAATATGAAGAGGAGCTGGACCTCCACGATGAAGAGGAGACCAGCGTACCAGGCCGGCCCGGCTCCACCAAGAGGAGGCAGTGCTACCCTAAAGCCGTAAGGAGGCTCCCTCTCTCTCATTGCACACAAATTAGCCTATCAAAGCAGAAACCGTATTTCTACTGTTCATTTCCATGTTTCTTTATGGGACAATCCCTACATTTATTTTTACTGACTTTTTGGATGAAAAATGTGTATGTCGTTATGTATTAAAAAAAAAAATGCTCATCATCTTCTACTCTGGTTTGGAAGTTGCAATTATTGAGCAGAAATGTCTAGTAAGAACTAATTCAGAATCTTTGATTTGAGCATAATAACAGATTTCTATTTCCAAATACATATTTAGATACGTGTCACTTTAAAGTGGACCGATCATGCTATATTTGAATAATATATTGTAGGGCCATACCTATATAAATCATGTCCAAACAGATCCTGCATTTTACCCATGCCTCATTTCGCTCTATTTGCTCTTTTTTAGCCCTGTTTTTGCAAGGGCTGATTCTGTGAGAAGTCTTCTTCGCTGCTTTTGTGGCAGACTACAGCGCCACCTACAGGCCTGGTATATGTACGACAGCGTCTCCAGCGCTTTCAAACGTCAATGGCCGTGGCTCCTCCTGATAGGTGGAGAGTTGCCCATATAGGCGGAGCTCCTCGTTTTTGACGTCAGAACAATTTCAAATCTGTCAGTCTGTATCAGATCCGATGCAGCCCCGTTTTTAGAGATTTGGGTATGGAGGAAAAGAGAGAGGATTGTGTTTTTCTGACACTTGGTGAGTTCCCTGACACACCGGGGACACATATTCATGTATATATCGACAGCAGGAAACAAAGTCGCTGACAGGCTGAGGCCGGGCCTGTTTGATGTTGTATGACATGCTAAAAAAAGTACTTATTGAGATCAAAAGCTCTGTTTCATAGTATTGTAGTTTAATCACAAAAAACTCAGTGATCAGACATACACATTGTTATAATAATCAAAGCAATCGTAAATCTTGCAGTCAACAAAAAAGTACAACGGCCCTGTGTCACCCTCTCTTTCACACACACCTCACGCAGGTGAACAGGATTATGAGTGCCGCCCATATCCATGTGACCCAAGCCAACCAATCAATAGTACTCAAACAAATATCTTATATTAAAACATAAAGGATTACTAAACACGTTTCATGGCTCCTACACACCAACCTCTAATTATTAGGATAGTTTACATAATAATTACTAACATTATTCAAATGGGAGACATGTGACAATTATAGCTTAGTAATCAAGTCCATGCAGTTGCAGTTCATGTAAGTAAATAAGACGACATTGTATTTTTGACCATTACAAAAACAAACTTGTTCGTCTCCGTCGGTGTTGATATGAGTCTTTGTATGAGGGAGTAGGAAAGCGCACGTTCGGCGGAGTGGAGTCCTGTGGCGTTGCTTTTTTACCGCTTGCCTCAGCTGCTGGGCACGACTGGTTGATTTATCTGAAACAGACCCTACGAGGTAGCTGAAAATCTGACAACACACCGTCGAAAACCAAAAGTTGGTGGGCCAAAGTTCTTTACTGTTTCCTACTTTTCGTGGACTGTGGCGGTTGCGCAGTTTTGATAAGTAGGACGGGCCGTCGGGGGGCCAGCGAGAGAGCGCGCCGCGCTTTGTGTGCTTGGTTACTCGGGTCAGTTATGAGATCATGGGTTGAGTGGGGTTGGGTCTGTTTCGAGGCTTGGTGTTGTTGTGTAGTTGACACTCCTTACGCATTCGGTCCGGTTGACGGAGACTGTCTTCATAAGACGCTGGGCTCCGGCGGTTGACCCCCTGGGATCAAGGATTTCCAGTCTCGAAGTCCTTATGTTCCGACGTAGCCGCTATGGTACCCGTTGTTCTGAATTGGCGCAAAGAGGCACGCATGCTGTGGTGTCACCTAAAGCCTCCCAATCATTGTCTACCTCGGGTTCGAGGTACCGGTAGGGAGGAGGTGCCGGTATGACATCAGCTTGTCGACGATGGGCGAGACATGGGTTGCTCGTGTTTTGATTCGACTGGTGTGCGTTCGGAGTGCTTCGTCTCCGCCACGTAGAGTTTATGTGGGGGTGTCTAGCCCACTTTGAAGTGCTCGATTGGGCCCAAATGTACCGAGTACCAATACTGCGGCGCTCCTCTCCTAATTGTCAACAACAAAACGGCGGCGCGCGGAGGGCAAAAAGGTGTAGTGCTGTGACCTGATATTGTAACGACTCCACAATTTTAGGACGGAGGCAAGAACCTCACCCCTGCACGCGCCTTCATAGGTTCCGTAACGAGCGAGCATTGGCTGTTGCGCTTCCTTCATACCTACATCGCCACGCTCTCGGCCAGAAAGGGGTGTGTACTTTCACAAAACGGGTGTGATAAAATTTTGGGCGAAGTTTGTCGACCAGAACTTGCATTTGGCCCGTTGCGGCAGGACGAACCATCTCACTCCGCACATCGACGCAAAAATAAGTGGCGTCAAGTTGACGGTGTCGACACGACCGGTGGTTTGTCCCTTACAATTTGACGGGACGGCGTATTTGAGGTAGTACTACACTAGGCGAAGCGTGAGCGAACTGGTAGCGAGCTGCGCGATGGGACCTCGTTGTTGTCGCATGAGCGACGTTGCGATGAGGCCGTCACGACTTCAGTCGCGTTGCGTGGGGCGCTCCTATCTGTGAGACCTTGGTCGACTGAGTGCCTGGCGGCTCCTGTCCAAGCGCGAAGAGAGTGGGGCGACTTCGTTTTCTTGGTGGGCACGACACGCTACGTCAGACGCTGGATTGGTGCAGAGAGGCAGTAACACGGGGAGTTTCGTGTACTATCTCTGTTGTCGTACCGTGGTCACGCTACTCCTGAGGAGGTGGGTAGCGGTTCGTGTTCTCTCGGTATGAGCTTCCTGAGAATGGGTCTGCGAGTCCCCTCGTTGTTGTTCAAAGACGTTCTCTGCTGTGACGTAAACCTGGGGGGCCAAGGCGCTCGGAACGGTCGGTCGATGTTACTGTCAGTCTCCCTCCTGCAACAAAGGCTTGTCCGCGACGTCAAACTTTCGGTGTGTCTACGTGCTTGGTCCACTGTATAAATTTTCATAACGAGAAAACACAGACACATTGGAAAAAAGTCTAGTGGCATGGCGCACGCGAACAAGACGGAGACAACAAAAACACTTTTTCTTCTCTATTCTACAAAAAAAAAGATGTGGAGTACCGAACGGAAACGTATCTTGGGATGCACGTTTGTCTTCCCCTTTCTCCGTGTACTGCGACTCCCTTGTTAGAGGAGGGAAGTGTTTTTCTGTCGGTGAGCGCTTCTAAGGAGAACCCCCTGGCGAGAAAGTAGATTTCTTCACGTGCAGCGTGTCCGTGTGTGTGACCATACTCCGAGCTTTAAACTGAACATGGAGGCGTTTCGCCTGGAGATAAAAATGAGAGACTGACAGGAGGAGTTCACACACCTCTCTGGTTGACGTTTCAACAATTGGGGCGCCGGGTGACGACAGGGGGTACGCGGTTTCGTATAGAGACGACGGGTCGGTGTAGTCACGGCTCACTCTCTCAGAAAAAGGTGTCGGTCCCCTATAACATTTTCGGGTTTCTAGGGTGAAGATGGGACCTTTACAACTGTACGAGTAGAAGGACTTTTTTTTTGACAGACTACCACTCTCTCTCAAACTCAACTCAATGAACGTCTTAGATAAAATAACGTCCCAGGACTCAATAGACTTCACAAGTAACAAATAAACCGTGTTTCTTTTACGTATGAGAAACAAACCATCATTGAACAAGAACAAGTTCAGACAAGTACAAAACTGTGAGCAATTTACCATGATGATATATTTTACGACATGTTAGTCTAAAATAATAAATTATTTTCTTTTTTTAAACCTCATTTTTTTTTTTTAAACATGAGAGAAAAAAACTCTACAAAAAAAAGGAAGTTATATACGCCGCTATTTATAGCATTGGGCACCTGAACAATAGCCGCATAATGGGCATGCCACTCAAAAACCATACGCAATGTAGGGATCT